GAGGGTACAAAGGCTCAACGATTGGCCCGTATGTATCCTCGGACGAGTTTCATCGGCATTATGGAGGCTACACCTAACAACGATCACAGGGGAACCCATGTGGGATATACAAACAACTTTTCATGACCCATAGCGACAGTGAAAGACAGTTCTGTACAGTTCTGGCTTAATGTAAACAACTCTTTGCGCGATTGCAATAACTGAAACCTCGCCCGAATACCCTTTCCTAGCTCATAGGTAATATCAATGTACGTCTGCTCGCTTTGAACTTGCTCTCGTGAGCTTTCGCTGCTCGCTTTAACTCTCTACTCTATCTCTCTACTCTCTCTTTCTCTTACTTCAGTTCAAATGGGATAAAAAATCCTTATATGGCCCTTAATCCGTATTTCCATCATGGCAACCTCTATTTTCACTACTTTCGAGGAGCTATATTTTCTCAATCACGAATTCTCTCGCTTTCTTCGCTACCAATGAACTATTCCCATCTATACTTCCGCTTTCGAATGAAAACGGGTACCTCAAAATTATCGTGCACTATGCGCTCAATGAACCCCTTTCTGTAAGCTTAGCAAAAGCCACTTTCATTTTGATTTGAAAAAGACACATTTGATTAGGTGGGAATTAGTTTAATGGTAGTGAAAAGAGCGCGAAAATTCGCCGATTCCGAGAAAAATTAAGCTCCATAAAAGTCGTGAAAATAGAGTTTGGACGAGATTACCATGACGGAAGTATGGGAAGGGTTTTCGGACAAGATTTCAGTTATTGCGACTTCGCGAAGAAATGACTACATCGAAACGGAACTGTACAGAACTCCTTTCCACTGTCGCTATGGGTTATGATAACTTGTGTTTTTGCGTTTGAACTTCCTATATGGGTTCCCTCGTGATTGATGCAGCCTCCACAATGCCGGTGGAACTCGTTCTGTCGTCCTAAGATACATTCGGGATAATTTTTGAGGATTTATAAAGCTCTATTTATTCGGTTTTCCGACCTGGCAGCGCCACATGTGCTATACGAGGACCACAAATTTATCCTAGGGGGATATCTCATAAGTCATTTTCATCGTTAACAGTGCCTTTAATGCTATTGTTCAAAAGTACTGGTGAAGTCCTCTCCCAACCAAAAGTTTACAATCAACCCAATTCGCTTCATATTGGAAATCTTTCCAGCTCAAATTGAAAGTGCCTCAATAATGAGGTTTTGGCTTCAATTATTCCGCTGTGCTCTCTCTATTTCCACACATTTCAATGGTGGTAGAGCATCATAGAGAAATAAATCGAAATATAATATATTCGTTAATTTTTATTACCAATCACCTTGTCATGATTGTTTCCTGCCTGAAAATGCATCAGAAGGGACGAGGCTGATGAAGCATAAAGAGTATGCTGCGTCGAAGGCACCGATAGAAGTTTTGCATGCTGAAAATTCAATTTGAAACTCTGAATAATCTTACGTGGAATTCAGAGGACTCCCTGGCTCATTTTAATGATAACGTGTAGTTCTCATTTATGATTTTTTTCCAAGAGTTCGGCTCCACTTCTCTCCCCGTTCAGCTGAGCATACACTTAATTTGAAATCCCCTGAGGATCTCCCGAGTGAAACATTGCGAGGGTAATTCGGATAGAGAATTTTTCATCCTCCAACCATGCCTTCCATTTCGAATTAGGAACTGGAGCAGCGAATTCAGATTTGGCTCAAAGTGTATATCGCTATTTGGTCGTGAGAAAGTAGGGATGATTTGTGGGAAGAGGAAGAGGAAGAGCCTGCTAACCACTCTTCATTTATATTTTGTCATAGAGAGGCTTGACTCGTCCTTATTCTTTTACTTTTTTTCTTGTCCTTAAAAAAGTTTTCCCAGAAGCAAATGGGAAAGCAGCTACAGAAGCTGCCATGCGGATTATGGGTACAATACTATTGCACGTAATATGTAGTACATAGCACTGGACGGAGATTCATCCGCCATATGAGTACATAAAGAATTCTGCCGTGTCGAACACTTCTCATCAGAACACTCTACAGGGTGTGCCAAAATTATGATGACAGCGCGAGTTGGCGTTCATAACAACTTTTTTCTGCGCTTGTAACATTTCTTTCAGTTTCTTCCATCTCACAAGGTAGTTTACACTGTTTACTTCCCAATATTCCAAACTTTCGGTAGATTTCAAAAATAATAGAAGTGCCACTACCCATAAATCAATCATCACTTTGCATTTACAGGCAAGTTTGGCGCAATACATCTACAGACGACCTGATATAACAAGGCAGGTAGTACATTCAGCCATTCTAAGACGCATTCTAAAGTTGGGAACAATCGCAGATAGAAGTGATAAACTTGAGAGGCCTGTGGTAACATTTAGGGGCTGTGTTAAGGAAGCAGGGCGAAGGTCTGCGTAGCAGCGAAGTTCACTCTGAACCCAAAATGGCTAAATGTATAAATATTTCATAAAGTTTTCTGCGCGAAATCGTGAAGCGTCATCTGCACAGCAAGGTCATTATACGATCGAACAGTGATGCCCTTAGTGAGAAAGCTAAAGATATGACAAAGGTTGGCCCACAAAAGCTGGCCTCTGTAGACGAAATAATAGTTGTACGGAATTCTTGTTCACTGACGCAGGACATTCACGGGTAAAAAGGTGCTTAATAAGCAGGGCGATAAGATTAATATGAAGCTGGAAAGAATGGAAGTGACACAGCGCTAGGCTCACTGACTTTCTCGGATGGCCTTTGCGAGCGTCATGAACGAGGCAAACCACCGATTATTTTTGTAAATTAAGGAGTGAAATTCGATTTGGAGACCTGTTCGATCTCATTGTGCGCAATAGGAAACTTTGGCGATTCAAATCGGACACACTGTCAAGATAATTGACAAGTGCGGCGGCCAGTGCGGCGGCGTTTTCTTTGTTCTCGTTATATTCTCAATCCTTCTTAGATATACTTCAATTCCCTTTCGTTTCATCTTTCTCTGAGTGACTCATTTACCCCATTATTGTTGTCTTAGGTATTGCTGTTGTGATAACTTCGATAAAGTACTATCTTTATCAGTTTCACTTTGCTTATTTATATCCGGGGTGGTCTCTTCGGTGTCGTTGTTGGTTTCGATCGATTGTGTTGTGCTGTCTGTTTAATTGATCGCGGCGCCAAAGGTAGACCGTGTTAGCAAGAGAAAGGAAACTATGAGTAAATCCAGTGAATCTGAGCAAGCTAAAGGAGTGGCGTCTAGCCAAAGCCCAAGTGCGGATATGTCGGATGTGGATTACGGTAAGCTATCAGCAAGTCAGCTCATCAGAGTAGTTTTAGAGCACAACAAGGATCCTCTTATCGAGAGAATGCTGCTGGTGCTTGCCGAAAAAATTTCAAAGGATGTGGCTGAGTTTGTAGAAGCCGATAAGCGGTCAAAAAGCATTGTTATTAGTGGTGTTGAGGAGGCCCCCTCCGGGATGCGCCCATCTGATAGGCAGAAAGACTTGGAGGTTAAAGTCACCAACATACTTGATGCGCTCAACGTGGAGTGTCGTCCCGTTGAACTTTACCGTTTGGGGAAGGAAGACCCCGCACGTCCCAGATTAGTTAAGGTCCTCCTCCCCTCACGTTCCTTTTGGAGGACGGCGCTTTCTAATGCAAAGCTGTTGAGGTCAGCTGGTTTCCCAAACATTTATGTCAGGAGAAGTATGACTCAAGACGGGCGGAAGCGCGACTATGAGCTAAGACAGCAAGCTAAAGAACGTAATAAAGGTAAACCTACTCGTGAATGGGTGGTTTACAGGGGGGAGCTTAGATCTATCTCTGAGCTTAGAGCTATAAATTTGGGAAACGCACAGCGAAGCATGGTCCTGTAAACGGTAACGCCTTTAATTGTTTCCTCTTTAATGCACGTAGTTTAGTGAAAAAAATTCACCATTTACACTTATTTTTGAGTACTTTCAAGCCAGATGTTGTTGTAACTACCGAGACATGGCTAAAATCAAATGTAACTGATTCCGAATTGACTGCTAACCTTCCGTACAATGTCTACAGGCATGACCGCAAAGGTAGACGTGGGGGTGGGATATGCTGTCTAGTCAGCTCTTTTATACTTTGCAAAGAGGTAAATGTTCGTATAGAGGCACCATGGCCAACTGGTGTGGATACTGGCTTCTTTTGATCTTGGGGTGTTAGTTGCCAGCGCTGCACTGCAACAGGGCTAAATTGACATCTATTTCGCCTCTTTTACCCTCCGTTTCTCATGTCGTCTGATCCAGCGGGCTGATATTATTCGACTTGGCCTTTTTAGTTTGTTTGTTATGGTCTAGCTTTTACCTTAAGCCCCGTTTTTCCTTTTAGGGTGCACTCTGTGAGTGTATAAATAAATAAATAAATAAATAAAAAGATGAAGCTCCTGACCGCAGATCACTTATTGTCGTGGAATTTCGTGGAACAATTCATAACGTGCGATCAGTGGCCGAGTAGGAGCCCTGACCTGAATCCCACGGATCTCTTAATAAAGTTAATCTTGGGAGTAGAAGCATGCATTAGCCCTAACATAAACTGAAATAATCTTGAAAAGACCTTGCAAAAAGGCCTCTGAGTGAAAGCGGAAAGTAACAGATCTCAGTTTCACTGTACTATTTCGATAAGAGATTAGTGATAAACTTTTTTTGAAGTTGGACTGTTCTATTGTCTTTTGATTCATTTTCGGGAATGTGATTCCTGTGTAATCATAGTTTTGGCTTACCCTGTAGAAATTCGCGCGGCTATTAAAGGTTTTCATGGGCATCTGAACCATTCAGAATGATTCCGATTCAGCCAGGGAGAGTTCCTCTCACCATAACTCAGACCGCCATCTACGTCACTGAACTCGCATTGGTCAAAGAGCTAAAGCACACTCATGGCTCGAAGGCTTTATTTTTACCAGTTACTTATCCTCATCTTCTATAATATATGACCTTGAGATTGATGTTGGGATTGGATTTATAAGTCGGACTCACTTCGGATCCTGCTCACAAGGTGTAGTTGTCCAAAAAATGCGGCTCTGTGAGCCTGTGCCGCCTTCCGCAGGAAAAGCCATAAAGGTAGTCAGTGGCGACAACATTGTCATGATCTACATGGAATTGATCGGAATGTGGTTCACCGATCGCGCGCCAAATGATGCCAATATCAATGTTGCGGCTTTGGTTGCCAAATGCATTAGAGGTGTCGGTGAGGGTTTACGGAAAAGGTTTGCTCCTCGCGCTCCTTCCGTCGTCCCTGTAATTTTTTACAAATTCAACTAGAAGAAACCTTTACTTCGTTGCCCTTTGATTGAATGTTTTGACGCCATTTCAGCCACGACGACGCTTGAAGCAATAGGCGACGATATTCTTGCTGCACTCGAAAAGCCGAATCCAAACATCAAAACACAGACCGATTTTTTCTTGTACAGGGTCTTCAAATTACTTAACGCTCAAACAATGCCGAAAAAGACTCTCAAATCCACTGCGTCGGAGCAGATCAAGCATACAGCCGATTCAGATGCTAAGGTTCGCGATGCTTCTTATGCTACCCTAGGTTTGACTAGGCGCGCTATTGGGGAGAAGCCTTGCGTGCCAATTCTTGAAGACATCCTAGACGACAAGCTAAAAATGGGGAAGATAAAAGTGTTCTAACGTCTTACATCCCAACTACTACGCCAGGCGGAGCTGACGAAGGAAAGAATCCTCCGTATGGGAACCCACTACCTCGTCATGGATTTATGGCACGAGAATATGACAGAATGGGGAGACGTTTCTGCGTTTCAGCTGCAAAACTGGCTCGAACGTAAGCACGACTACGCCTTTGGACCGAGGGCCATCATCGAGTTGATTAAGAACCAGTGTGACCTCCTGAACATCGAGATTGAAGACATGAAGGCAATGTCGCAACGTCAGGAAAAGGAACTGACTGGACCAGAACGTCTCACGTGTTTTCGAGTCTGGAGAATCCTTAAGAGGGAGATCGAGCCGTTGCAGGAGCACCTCAAACACCGCGCGGATGTGGACGCGTCAACGAAGAAAGGCGAGTCCCAAGGCTTGGAGATAGCTTCCATCAAGTCGACTTCGGCACCAGAGAATCACCAGAGAAGGATGGTGTACGAAGTCACTGATGAAAAAGGGACTGGAGGAAACTGGTCCAAGGACGATGAATCGGTACCTAAAAGTTGAGCATTATGAGCCGTTGATCACCAGTCGCATTCGAGTCGTGCAGGCCAAATTGCAAAGAATGGAAGAAGAATTTGAATGTTTTCCATATCGAGATAGGCGAGACGAGTCTTTGGGAATTCCTCCTGACCGGACTTGTGCGCTTTGTGATGCTGTAGTCATCCAGTTTTCCGATGCCTGCCCTCAATTTCGGAATGGGAGAACGCGTTATCAGATCAGATTCAGAAAAAATGGTGCGTTCACGGGCTCCAGGGTCCGGAGAGGCACCACTGCAGGTATCGCTTCAGGATGTGTTGGTATTGCCACAGAATCAAGGGCCGGTTTCCGGAGATTTATGCATGAATGACAACGGATACCACCATCGATTCCTGGCAGTGTGTCCTGACATGAAGCCCATAGTTCGTTCGCGCGTTGAGGATGCCCAAAGAGACTTGTGGCAACTAATGAGCAGCAAGTCAGAATCTCAGAGAGGAGACCATGTTGACCCCAGAGTGACGACAAAATCGTCATGATCTACATGGAATTGATCGGAATGTGATCCACTGATCGCGCGTCAAATGGGATACAAAAGATGTATGCAGAAGGCATCGGCATTATACTTTTTCTTACTTTTTTTCGGTTTTGTTTTATATTGTAGTTGAACCGTATTGATTGGGTTTAATTACCCAAGTTTGAAGTTCGAGAAGCGACCTCTTGGTAAACTTGGTGGTAATCGGTCTAATATAGTGGCTTGCTCTAGTATGATCAGATATCTGTATTCTACATATATTCTACCACTGAACTACATTAATCAGTCCATTCTCAACTCAATTTCGATGTTGTTTTTTTAAAATAAGGAAGAAATTTCGATGATCATTTGGAGGACAGGGTGTGGTTGAGAATGAGCTATCCGTAATTTCTTGGCTGCCATGAAGTGGATGGGCGCTACACCTAAGTAAACAATATATGGTCTCATCTAGGAGCTGCACTGAAGAGGGTGTTCGGCATCTGCAGAAAACGGATGTGGCCATTCTCAAAGAAATTGAATGAAGATAAGAACTGTGGAAGGAGTTTGGACAAGAGAGAAGGAACTGATATAAGGCAAATATGTGTCTTCGTGTAGGGGAACTGAGCCGTACAGGGACCGCGGAATCGATAAACAGGGGTCCACGCATATTTATAAGTATAAAAGGATGTGAAGTGACAGAGAGCATTACGACAATCTTAAGAATCTCACCCCATTCGTAGTTTCGAAGATGTCGATTGTCGCCTCTCTTCCCAAGGAGATCTCTCCTGACGACAGAACAATTCGGTGTCCTTTTCGCTGAGGTAGAATATAGGTGCAGTTCACAAATGATTGATAGTAAAATGGATAAGATGGAGAGTATAGAACTCCCTGAAACAGATGTACAATAATTCTACACGTGCGTTCGTTCAACACCTCTGTACACTAACTGTTCAATGCAGCGAGAAACTCTTTTCCTGTACTATAGAACAGCACTATCACTTTCATTCTTTACTTTTTCATAGAAATGTTGAAGATCAACTCAGTTCGTCGTTCTCTATAAATTGGATGATAGAAATTAGGGGAAACTCAAATTTGAATTCTCGTTTCATCATCATCGTAATCGAGGGCACTTCATCAGCAACGACGTTCGCTACGGTTATAACTGGAAAGCAATAGCCTTCAAGTGCTGAACGAGTTGAGTAGATTTTTAATACAGAAGCTAAACTGAGAGTAAACGTTCGCGATGACGTGATTTTACTGTTCATTTCTATAAGTAAAAAATGGAAAAGATAAATTTGATTTTACGTCAAACTTAACTCACAACTGCATTTAAAACTGAAAATTGCAATATGTGGTGATCCTAGTTCTAATAAATGACAAGCCTAGTGTACAGAAATAGCGGTTTTCATCACTTTGTAAATGGTATGGCTAAGCTTGCCTGGATACTTCCACTTGCCAAACTCGCTGAACGACATGTTTTTACGATTTTTAGTTTTTTCAGAATTTATCCAATGAGATTGTTCGAGTACAGAAAAATTACTGCTTTCCACAAAGCATTCAATAGGAACTCTCTGGCTGCTTTTATAGTCCGCCGGACGGCCGGTGCCAGCCGAAGCAGTGCTAGAGGGAAGGAGGGAGGCAGACGGTCGGTAAGCTCCTTCGAAGGACCATAAACAAAGAGAGACAAGATCAAAAACCATTTGCACAGGTCCCTGGTTGTTTGGTTTTTGATCTTGTTCTTCTTTGTTTTCAGCCCTTCGAAGGAGCTGACCGACCGTCTGCCTCCCTCCACCCTCTAGCACTGCCTCGGCTGGCACGCCGGCACGCCGACCGGTCGGCCGGCGGACTATGAAAGCAGCCTCTGTAAACAATCATTTGTAAGAAGAAGTTTCTCTTCTAGTGCAATGCGGTACCTCCCCAGTGCGCTAGTAACCGAGACCCATTTTTCAGATGGAAATAAATTTGCAAGCCCTGACTTTGTTGAAATCTATTTTAAAAAAGCTACTCGATGATATGCATTTAACTCCACGAATTTCATTTCATTTCCCATCTTCGTATAAGGCTGCTTCCCAGCTCGCTCACTCGATCACACAACTGGTCATCTGGCGCAGGTGGTGTAAAAGCGTACGATCGATAGTGCCTTGATATGCCATCATCAACTTAACATCTTCAAGAAATTGTGCTCTTAACTGAATTTGTTCAGCCTCGAATCAACTGCCTTCAATGAAATCTTTTTCTTCATCTTCTGAGCCCAGTTGAACAGGAACCTTCAGGAACCCAGCGCTGTTGCATGCCATACTGCACAACTTCTCGCTGAGCACTATCGAAAGCTTTGTCAGAACCAGAGGATCGTGATGCATCGATTTTCGTTTCTCACGATGTTTTTCGAGCAAGACGAGGGGCATTTATGCGTCTGTAGTGCTACAACCTAAGTACAATTCGTTGGAAGATTTTCATACTGTGCAAGAGCAAACCGAGCGACAGCTGATACAGTCTGCAGGACTCGCCGTCTTCTCCCAAGCAAAATGATGGTACCCTGTTGCCAACACAGCTTTTGCTCTCCTACGATGACGTGATTGAAGATCTTCGTCAACCATGCTGCAGTCTAGAACTGTCACTTTCGTACGTCAAGTTATCAATACCACTTGCCTCACATCATCTTCATCAACGCTACTCCGTGTCCTTTACGGTAGTTCTGCTACCACAAGTGCAAATAGTAATTATGCCGTTTTTTACTCACATTAGGATGATGAATCGTTTTTGCAACCGCCACAACCTTCTGCACCATTTTTTTTGCTTTTCGGTCACTCTGTCAGCACATATTGTTCTTCAAGCTTATGCTTCGGCAGCACCTTTTCAAGTTTCCTCTGCAGGCCTGACAGCTGGTAACTAGTTCCGAGTAATTACAGCCGCATCCCTTTCGTTTGATCGCCTGTCACTTCACTCAGCTTGTTACTGTTCAAGCGGAGCGCCCCTAAGCATAGAAATCAGTAGACAATATTGCGTGGCGACCGTCTCATAGGGTACGCATCCGTCACGAACTCAATCGCGATACTTGACGGGAACAAAGTCGATTTGTGTTCTGGTTTTGCTGCTGTAGAAAGTGGTGAGATGAGAGTCACGTTTCCGGAATTTTGGTGTTTCTGATGGCGAACACTGTAAGTCAGATCACTACCATTTGAGCTTACCAAAATCGTGAAATGTATCGCGGATGGGCATACTCGGAGACAGTCATACAAACTGAAAACCTAACCAACATACCGATAGACCAAGTTAACTTTATCTTTTAGATTGGAAGGAAAGTCCTGCGACAAAAAATTCGAAGCGTCAACAATTTATATCAACAGTGTGAACACGGTAGCAAGAGAGATAAACTTGTATGACATTCCTCAGATAATCAACACATGAGTAAATAAGGGCACGCGTGTGGGCTTCAGCAGCACTACGGTCAATGAATGGACAACACCCGATTCGTGCCATCACCTTCTACTAAGCACGCCAT